TCAGTGTTGCAGGGTTCAGCTAATCATGCCTGTGCGGCTTCCCTCATGGGAACTCCCCAATCACCAATTCTCCCTTGGTTATCTTCCTTCTAGTGAGTCCAGGGCGTTCTCATTTGGGTTGAAACTCGTAGCATGAAAGTCTATAGTCCGTTTTTATATAATCCCGTGCGAGTTTGGATGTAGTCGTCTCAGCGTCTTTATTCTGCCACCATCTTGCCCGTTCGAGCAATGATGCCTGGTCGAACTGATCAGCGCCTTTGCATGGTGCTCAGGCACTCCCGATCGGGTCTGCAGTTTCAGCAGTTTTTCCCTGTACCCAGGTGTTGCGGATCATATTTGCAGTCTTTCCGCAACCTGGGCTCCACTCACTGAGCTGAGCCGTCCCCCTTCACCTCCAGGGTGTAGCGTGGGTCAAAGTGGCTCCTGCAGCCCACCAAACTTCCAGGCTCCTGGGTTTTCCTCCCCAATTGCCAATTCCCCCTCAGTAATCTACCTTCTAGTGAGTCCAGGGTGTTTTCATTTGGGTTGAACCTCACAGTAAGTAAGTCTATAGTCCGTTTTCAGTCCTCAATTCCTATGCAAGCCTGGAAGCGTCTTTACTCTGCCGCCATCTTCCAGAAGTCTCCATTTTTAAAGTAATTCAATACACAGTTTCATCTCTATTCTTGACTAGTAAATACTGAGATTGATTGGGGCAGAGGGACAGCTGGAAATCCATTGGGATGGTTGGGAATTTGAAGCCATTCTCATCCTTCATTTCTCTAGTTTCTTAGATCTTCACATAATAACTGTTAAAGACATTTGGCCTCTACTTCTACCCCTGCCTGTCTCCACACCTGTCAACAACTTAGGACCCTAGATACTACAAGTGTTAAAAGAAGAGAATTACCTAAGGTGTCATGGATTAGGGAACTAGAGTGCCAGATTTTGTTCAGCTACAAGGCCACATTTAAAGGGACTGTTGAAAATAAACAAACAAAAAATAAAGAGACTGTTGGACAAGTCCAGAAGACAGCAACAAGATGGCAGAGAATTGACTCACATCATGTGAACAACCATCGCCATCGCTAGGTAAAAGAGAGGACTAAAGTGTGATAGAAGAGCTATCACTATCTAGCCACCTTCTTTGCCACTTGAGAGACAGTATGGTATATATATAGTAATGAAGAGTTCAGAGTTAAACCTGCATTCACATCCCAGCTTGACCTGAGAAAAGTAATGTAACCTTCTGACCTCGGGTTCTTGAGTTTTTTCTGAAAAAAATAGAAATTATAGTAGTGCCACCAGTAGGATTAAATATTTGAAAAACACTTAAACAAAATCTAGCATGCCTTTAAGTACTCATTCAACAAATATGCTGTAGAACTAAAATTTCCTTTCAAGCTGAAATTGTAAAAATTAATGCTATAGAGAGACATTTCTGGCTCAGCAATAGAAAATTGCTGTCCCCAGATTATGTTCAGGCAAACGCTGTACAACTGTCATGTACCAGAGATGTATAGATGGATTCTGTCACCTGGTAAAGGTCATAGTCTTAGTTCTGTTTGCACATTTAAGACTTTTACAAGGGAGATCCACATGAAAGCTATTAATATGGTTGCTTATGTTACAGAATTAAATCCAAAGAAGTATGAAATATCTTAGTTTAATGTAATGAGGCTTTTATTGACTTGATTAATTATACCATTTACAAATGAGAGAACTTACTAAAGATCACCGATGTGAATTATATTATTAAATTATATGTGAATCATGGAGGCTTCCAGACAGTGTTCTGAGATGGTCTATGAAGGGAAGTTAAGTTAGAGTTAGCCTTAGCTCAGTGGTTACTTTGGAAATTGCATCTCTTTCAGCCATACTCTTGAAGAGGAATGAAACTACTTTTAGGTATTAATTAGCTCCTTGAGAAATTTGAAGTAGAGTTTTAAAATATAACAAAAAAGGTCAGTTTAAAAAATATTGGATCGGGCCTTCCCTGGTGGCACAGAGGGTTAAAGCACAGCACTAAGAAGCTTAAGCCACTTCGCATGAGTTCGATTCCTGCCTGCCCTGGAGGAGATCCACATGGCAAGACAGACCTCTCCTGACCCGCCCCCTGCTCCCCTCTGCAGTGTACTTCATTGATCTGCCTGTTCTGCTCCCCACTCTGTCTCTGGTGAATCCTCTCACCCTCTGCATCTCTGGCCTGTACCCCAGTTCTCTATGAATAAATAAATAAATTTAAAAAATAAATATTGGATTGAGGCTCTTGCTGGTGGTGCAACAGGTTAAAAGCATAGCATTATGGAGCTATCGCAGCCACTGCAGCATGAGTTTGATCCCTGGCCAGGGAGGTGACCCACATGGTACAGCAAACCTCTCCTGACCCACCTGTTGCTCCTTTTAGCAGTGTACTTGGTCAGTTAGCCTGTCCTATTCCCTGCTCTTTCGCTGGTGAATCCTCTCACCACCCCTGCACCTCTGGACTGTGTCCCATTTCTATATACATAAGTAAATAAATCTTTAAAAAAAGAAATAGTGCATCATGATGCTCTTTATGTCCCACCTAAAGCAATCTGTAATAAATCTTAATAGTAAATGTGTTTCTTTGTAATTTATATTCTGTTTCCTAGAAACAATGTACAGCAACAGCTTAGAACATTATACTTGGTGAGAAAAGACTATAGCCAAGGTGCCATCCTACTTAAATTTAGAGAGCCAAATTATCTTTCTACTGACTACTATTGCTTAAAGGGAAGTTGGAGAAAAAAACTTACATATGTAGGGGTGCAGAGTGATACAGTGAAAAAGACTAGTACCTTTTTTATGTAAGAGGCAGAAAACATAGATTTCTGCCCTTTCACTGCTGTTGGTCTGCTTTGTAACTTTTCACATTCATTTAAACTTAAAAGACTCAGTTACCTCGTGGATATCATAATAGTTAAATTACCTAGTTTCTATATGAAAAGCCTTTGTAAACTGTAGAATATTATCCAAATTGTAATATTACTTGTGACATGAAAATAGCATTCTCAACCAATCAAGAATTATTTCATATGTAGGAAGATCTTGAGCTTAGTTAAAAATAGCCAAAGATTTGAGGGATGTAATATGAAGATGATGATATTTCTCTGTGGTCCCTTGTTTTCCCTTTAAAACTTTTAAAACAGTGAGACACACACACACAATCCCTTGTAATCCGTTTGTTCTCACACACACAAAAATGTATTAGAGTCTTTTAAGAAAGAAAAAAGTAAAATATTTCTTCTTTACTCCTTCATTAGTAAGTCCTCATATGCCTACATTTGATAAGCCAAACAGTAGCTAACTTTGAAAGTATTTTGCTTTTCCAGAAAGAAAAGGAAAAATACTAGATGGTTTCACTCATAGCAGGAGTATAAAGGACCAGGGGAGAAAATAATAGTTAATGAACAACTACATACCTGAGACATTTTATGGAGGTGGAATGGGGAGTGGGGTCAAAAATGATGGGGGGAGGGAAGTGCACTGGACTATGGTGATGGCACATGGGTGATGTGGTGATGGTAAGCTAATGGGGATTACAACTGAGATGAAAAAAGGCACAAAATGGTGTAAAAATAAACTTTATTTTTTAAAAGTATTTTGCTTTTAGTAAGTCATATTCTATGTAAAATTCATGCATAGAAAAAATGCTTAGAAATTATACTTTTTGAACCAATTAAAAAAATTAACAGAGAAACAAACATCCTTTTAATACTCTCACCTAGATTGTAACATTACAATTTGGAGAATATTTTACAGTTTACAAAGACAGTATGGGATCAATCTCTTTCCGTACCGTCCCCATCTTCATTACTACACACACACTTAAAACTTTTGTCGTGTCATCCTAATGCATATAAAGGTAATTATCATTTTGTCTGCAGCTCAAGTAGAGCAACATGATTACTGTGAAGTTTGTTATGTAGTGGTGCCAGCTGTTATAGTTTATTTTTGGAAACTCTTAGTACATTTTATTTGAGCCAGAATACTCAGATTAAGAATATTTTAGTAACTGTTGCATAATGATACATAACTTCTAAGATCTGCATTATCAGAGAAGGAATATTAGACTACTTACTGATGAGTCTAAAATCCTAAATATTAGGGGCAGTGCTATTCTTGAGTAAAAGTAGTTAAATACTACATATCTTTAATGCCTTGTTTTAATACAGCAGGCTGAAATAGTAAAGTTTTATATTCCAAGCTGTTGGAAGAAGGAAAAACTCCTGTTTTAAATGGAATATCTGTTAGAATGTCAATCTGTCATTGCTTAGGCTTATTATTTGTATAAATTGATGCTCTCTGATGGAAAATATGTCTTATGTAATCATTTCACCTAGATAATAACTACAACCATAAAAACTGTTGCTTTCCTTTCTTACCCCAGGAGACTTTGATGCATTCACTCAAGATAATAATGACATTATGTTGAAAAATATAGCAGAAGATCTTCGAAATTGCCTACCTCTAGAAACCATGCTTTCCTCAGAACATCTAGCCCTCCAAAAAGTAAGTTCATTAATTTACTATTAATGCTTATCCTTAGGGATTCTCCTATTCTTCCATAACTCCTTAATAACACTGTTCTAATCAGTCCTAACTTCTGCTTTAAACCATTTTTCATTTGGTGCTGGAAATATTTCCCCAATTCTTTTGAGACTAATTTTCTCATTCAACAGATATACTTTGAGGGCATTTTATTTGCCAAGTACTCAAAAAGCAACACTTAAGACCTGTGTATATCATTGTCCTGGTATTCTCTCTCCTGTTTTATTCCCTGCACTTTTATCATCTTTTTATTTCCTTCTCCTATTTCTGAATTGAATATTTTTTGTTAATTTTATTCCTTTATTTCTAAAATTAGTTCTCATGTTTCTTCTCCAGACAAACTCTTCATTCAAGTCCCTTTTAAATCCCAGCTCTTATGGGCTATATATGCTATGAATATTGTTTATGAAGACAAAGTTAATAATCTGCACTAATCTGAAAACAGAAAACCTCAGTGTGGTTTCTTAGCCTGTGAACTCCTGAGCAGGCTGTACACTTTTGATAATGTTATGCGTATTGTGGATACTTAGCAAATCTTAATAAATATTTAGTCATTTAGAATGGATTCTCAAAGGGAAGTAGTATATGGAATAAAAGATGAAGAAATATTTGCAATTCAACTTGGAAGTTATTAATAAATTATATACAAGGATAGACTACCACTATGAAATTTTACCTACTGGAGCATTTCTAGTACATAACAGAGAAAATTAAAGGGATAGAAAGTCTTCTTCATCTCTCTGCCCCTCAGGTGTAGCACCTCTACCCAAATGGGAAATTGGACTCCCATACTGCTAATATTTTACTCTTCTGTTAAAATATTCTTTGTTCAAACTGGATAGTCATTGCATGTTAATAGTCAGTCTACAATCCCCTGTCCTCCTAACAGGCTATTTTTATCTTCCTCAGTTTTTTCTGGTCTTTGTCTACATCCATACCTGATTTTTACAAGCTTATACGTTTTTTTAGTGTAGATGAAAATATAATTTTTTCCACATGGTTAAATTGATTCTTTATAGTAATTACAGAAGAAGGAATTAGAAATTTTTATCACTCTAGCCCTTGCTGATAAATCATGTGCCACCAATATTTATAAAGGGGACTACTCTTTGTAAACTTGAAGTTTTACTAATATTTTTATTACTTGAAAATTTTTCCACTCAGTAGTGTTTTGATGAGTAAGTCATTGAGCGTAGGACTCAAAAGATGGTAATTAGTGTCAACTTCTTTCCCCTTTTACTAAATAGTGTCATTTCTTTGGAGACATTTCTCTAGATGTTAGTTTCTTTGTGAAGATGGACACCACCATATCAAATACTCCTTTCAACAAAAATTTAAATATAGCTCATAGCCATTATTTCACATCATTACAGATCAAATAAAAAGTTGCTAGTGTCTCAGAAATAAAATGAAAGAAGAGCAAAGTTGCTGACTTCAATAAAGCAAAACTTGTGTTTCTGTGCCTTGTTGCTTCAGAATTTTAGCATGTGAATCACTGATGTTTTGCCTTATTTAGCAATAAAAAGACTTCTTTGTACTTTTTCTTTTGATGTTTTTCTTTTCTCCACTAGATACGGCAACAACCAGAACCCACAGTTCACGTGGATGCATTCCTTTATGATGAAGACTTTATTGATTCATTATGTGAGGAAGGAAAAATGAGCAGAAACTACTGCATGCTCTGTGGCTCCCACCAGACAGCACCTTTAGGTAGGCGCTCCCTATGGCGGGGCTGATGACTTGTGTAGGACCATACAGATTCTTGGCTAAGTCATTTAATGTTTTGTGAAAGCAAAAGCCAATCTTAAGCACAGCTATCATCAAATAATACAGTTAGGGAGACTAAAAAGAAGTGTTTTCTAGGAAAAGTAGGCCACTTGATGTCTCTAGGGCTTATCTCAGCTGCTCACAGGAACTGTTTAATCAGAGGTGATTTTCCAGGACCAGAAACTAATCAGATATGACTGAGTGCTGGAAAAGTAACTCTTACTTTCCATCCTCAAAAGAGATTGATATATAAACCACGATTCTTGCTGGTATACTTAACAAAAAGAACTGTAACTGTTCAGGGAGCTGAAATTTCTCCCAATAAGCACTTCTCCTTGAGAAGTTAAATAGTAATAGCTATTACTGGATGAGTATGAACTCAGAGAACAGAAATAGATAATCTTGAGAAAGCGTTTTTTCATGCCATGATTTTACCTACTAGAACTACTATTCCATAACAGAACAATTCTAGTGATAGAAAGTCTTCTACATCTCTCTGCCCCCCAGACGTAGCACCTCTATCCAAATGGGAAATTAGACTCCTATACTGTTAATATATTAGCTCTTCTGCTAACATACTCTTTGTTCAAACTGGATATGATTGTCTAGACTATTGCTTTAGACATGTTATTTCAGTCTTCCTGCTCACTTTAATTTACAGTTAATGCTTAGAGTGGGCTACCTCTCCATTTAAGTAATTTTGTGTTCATATTACTCATCTTAGGTGATATCAGCCTCAAGAATTAGTTACAACCAAATTACAATATGTTGCTTACACAAATGTACCTATATTATAGTTTAGGATTAAGCTTCTCTGATTTGCTGGTTTAAGATTTTATTTTTAGGTAATACTTAATGCTTTCCATTTGAAATAGTTGAAATTCACAAAATAGAAAAGGACAAGACAAAAATAATAGAAAACAAAAAAATGCACTATAATGCCATATCAGATCTAATAGTCAGAAACTTATAGACGAACTATATTTCACAAATAAAAAATTGTGAGATTAAGATGCATTTTCCCATAAAAATCAGGTGGTAAAAAATGACTGGGTACACAGGCCAACCCAGATATAAACACAATGAATGTGGGATATTCCCTATATCCTACAGGACAAGGGCCTTGTCTAGCTACAAAATCCAAGTGGTGACTCTAACCCAAAACACTTGGATCACAAAGAGAATCCTACATAGATGAGGACTGTGGTAGTCAAATCCCACTAACCAAGAATTATCTCTGAAGCCTAGTGACATCCTTTATTTTCTTCTAAAGGATTGACCAGCTTGCTTCCTTTTTTTTTTTTTTCCACATCATCTAGTAATAAGACTGAAGTCTTCCTCCTTCCTAACCATTATATTATACGAAACACGAAATAGTTAAGTCTTTGGGTTACCTCCAAATCAGACAAAAATAAAGAAATAAAGCAGACTCTGGCTTTCCCAGATATTTTGTCACAGAAACTGATTTGAGAAGATAGTTTAGGAATTATAACCATAAAACTAAGGGATATAAGAGAAATTTATGGGAGAATCTTAACCCTTCTCCTGGATGTCACAAGAGAACACATTCTAGGTTAGCCTTGACAGCCATGTTGCACACCTCCAAAAATGGTGATTCATTTCATATGCTATAGTCTAGTCAGCAATACATGGCAGTTCTGAGTTTGGCTCTGGGCTAAAGTGGGAAAGCCAGATGGTATGGGAGTTAGGTAGCAGTCCCAAGGAGCAATTGGTCATAAGGAAAAGGAGAAGGAAAAAAATCTAATGATATTCTTAGCAGGAAGAAATGAAGGGCACAGGGATGGGGACATGCATCTGTGTAGCTGTTCCCTAGAGATATTTTAAATGTCAGAGGCTTTGTATTTATTCTCTAATCAAGCTCATAGTGAATGAATGTGGATTTATCACATTGTTTTCTAAATAACCTCTGAATGACTTCATTAAGAAAAACATACATAAAATATACTTTATATAAATATGGGTAATTCTAATAAAGAATTAGAAATACAGAATGGAATTGTTAATACCAGGCAAAATAACGATGTGCACTCTGTTCTAATCCTCCAGGATTTATTTCTCATTCCTTCTCTCTCATGGAGTTGAAGTTCATTTATCATCATGTACTCCCTGATCTGTCGGGAAAGGTCTTGGTTGACGTTGGCTCCAGACTTGGCACAGTCCTTTATGGGGTAAAGTCCAGCTTGCGGACATACTCAACATTTGGAAAAAACTTTCTTCTCCTGCTAGCAACAGCTTTGCCTGCCACCATCCAAGGTGACAGCTTGGCTTTATTTGTTAGAGTAAAAGAATATTTAGATTAAAATAATATAGAATAGACAAACATTTAAGTTCTGTTTGATGTTAATAATTATATTTGAAATTTCAAAAACCAATTTTCTGATTTTTCTTACTAGTTTATCTCTATAACACAAATGAAGGAATGACAATAAACAGAAGCAAGTGACCCCTCAAAATACTTTGCTGTTTTGTCAATCAGTACTATCCTTTTAACTCCCTTTTCTTTGTACTATCCTAAAATAGTATATAGTGAACTTGGATAAAAGCTCTTATAATTGGCAGATTTTACTTCAACTAGGAAATTACTGTATGGACAAAACCAATTCACTTAATACCTCTGGACTTCAGGTTCCTCACCTGTAAATGAGCAAACTCAGTGATACTCCAGAAACACATCTTGCTCCAATATTCTGGATCAAAGTTGTTAAATGATTTTATCAAAAAAAACTAAAATGTTTCTGGTTGTCGTTAGTAGACTTGTTAAAAACATGTGGCTAACAGCAGTAGAGGCTCTTGCCAGAAACAGTTTCCAGCTTCATTGCCTGCTCTGAAGAGAAACAGTTAACTCTTTAATGCTTCATTTATTTTTTAGTGGTAAGACTTTTATTCCAAAATTAAGAAAAATAACTATAATTAAAAATACAGTTTGTCAAATGATCTTTGGAGAATATTTCAGAGTATGATTGATTTCCATATTTTGTTCACTTTTGTCAGTTTTCTGATTTGTTAGAAAAATATAAAGCTGAAATATTTGTGGCTATACAGTTATAGTAGCAGTATTAATTTATACATAACTGTCATTTTTTCTCTATTTTATGCCATTGGTTTAGTCAACATTTTTTGAATACGTACATATGATCTATTGAATATAGTCTAAAACTCCTTGATAAGCTATAAATATAGATTTGGTTTTAGAGGTATTAGTTGATATTAAATGATGTGCAGACTGATTTCATTCCAGATTTTTTTTTTGTTACTGCCCTAAAAATAGCCGTATAACCTATATAATCGTTTATTGGTTATGCTTGATAATTAATTGGTTGATTATCTTTGGCAGATTGTCAGATACCACACTGACTTCCCTAAGCCAAAAGCATATACCTTTGACCACCTTCTACTAATGTCAGACTCTATGATTTTTCATTATGTTCCCCATAGATTAACATGGAAATTTGGAACAAATTACAGAAATAGAGTATTAAACAGAATCTACATGTAATCATTTTTTTCATTTACAGTTTTGTTAAATGCACAGCTTTATCAGAAAAATAAGAAATCAATTTTTTAATATAATTATTTGTAAAAAGGGGAATTAAACTGTAATTTAATTCCCCTTTAAGGGGAATTAAATTCTTTATTCTTTAAGGTTTTGAGATTGTAACTTTTACATAAATGCAAAGTGATATATTTATCTTTCATCTTGTTTTTACTTATATTTACTTAATCTGTTTATGCTTGTCTTTTAAAATTTCAAATAAAAGTAAAGCTACAATTAAAGTTCATTCATTCATATTGTAATATATCTTCATATTTTAGGGTTACCTTTACAGCTCAGCTTTGCAACTATATGGAGTAGAATTGAATGGAGACTTTTGCCAGTTGCAGGAAATGGTCATAAAAAAATACCAATTCACTGACAGAATAAAGGTACCCTTTTAAGTTTACATTTTGTTAATTCATCATATAAGTATACTTAGCCAAATCTGTTCTGCATTGGACGTGAAAATCTTCAAATTGATTCCTGGTTGCTATTGTATAGCAACAGATTAAATAAACATTTTAAAACAATAATAAAGATGAGTTATTATAATTATAGTCCACTTGCATTTTTCTCTTGTTCCCCAATTTTATTAGATAGTAGAGTTATTTTCTTTATATTAGCTATAGTTTGGTGGCAGCATTTTTGAATCTACATATTGGACAGATGTATATTTAATTGAACTCTGAATATTGAAAGTACACAGATGGGTTAAAGTACAGTAGTTCTTCCTTATCTCTGGGGGAGTATTCCAAGACTTCCAGTGGATACCTGAAGCAGCAGATACTACTGGACAACTTTTCTTGTACCTGTTGGCTATGTATTTGTCTTCTCTGGAAAAAATGTCTATACAGATCCTCTGCCCATTTTTTGAACATTTTTGCTGTTGAGTTGTAGATATTTTTTTGTTGTTGTTGTTAACCCTTTATCAGATACATTATTTACATATTTTATAGTCCTATTTTATAAGTTGCTCTTTTATTTTGTTGATGGTTTTCTTTGCTAAGAAGTAACTTAATATAATGTGATCTCACTTTTTTTTTGTTTATTTAATTTATGCTATTGGTGTCAAACCCAAAAAATTATCACCATGATTGCTTTCAAGAACTTACCACCTTTATTTTTTTCTAGGAGTTTTAGTTCAGGACTGATATTCAAGTCTTTAATTTTTGAGCTATATTTTTTTGTGTATGGTGTAAGATAGTCCAGTTTCATTCTTTTGGATATGACTGGTCAGTTTTCTCAACACCATTTGTTGAAGAGACTATCCTTTCCCCATTATTCATTTTTGGTTCCCTTTATTAATCCATTGATGATATTTGTATGGATTTATTTCTAGTTCTATTTTGTTCCATTAATTTATGGGTCTGTTTTTTTATTGTGTATGTTACCAGTGCCATACTATTTTTAATTTCTATAGCTTTTTAAATATAGTTTGAAGTAAGGTTATAGCTCTGTTCTTTATTAAGATTGCTTTAACTATTCTCAGTCTTTAATGATTCTACACAAATTTTTAGTATTCTGTGTTCCATTTTTGTGAAAAATGCCACTAGAAATTTGGTTGAGATTGCATTAAATCTATAGATTTCTTGGATAGTATGGACATTTCAGTTACCAATTCTGATCCAAAAAAAAAAAAACAATAAAAAACAAAAAAGCGGCCCAGGTGGCACAGCGGGTTAAAGCACAGCACAAAGAAGCTTAAGCCACTTCCGCATGAGTTCGATCCCCGCCTGCCCCGGAGGTGACCAAATGGCGTGGCAGACCTCTCCTGACCTGCCCGCTGCTCCCCTTAGCAGTGTACTTCGTTGATCTGCCTGTTCTGCACCCCACTCTGTCTCTGGTGAATCCTCTCACCCTCCACATCTCTGGCCTGTACCCCAGTTCTGTACAAATAAATAAATCTTTAAAAAAAAAAAAAAGCTCATTGGAGTTCTGATTAGAGGATTCTATACTCAGTGGGCTTCACTGATGAGTGATCTTATTCCTGGCTTACAAACTGTTAGGTCTGTTAACTTTCCATTCTCCCTGTAGATATATACCTTCTTTTTAAAAAACCCTATGCTGTTATTATAATGGGATTTCAGGAGAGAACAAGTATTTATGCATGTGTCTTATGCACTATTGTTATGCAGTGGTGTTATATGATTTAAATGCTTCTTTGCTCCAGGGTATAAGTAATCTTCATATTGCTTATTCCTTTGATGGCACTTATGTAGAGTTATCAACGTATCAAACAATGTTTGCTCCCAGTACTAGATTATAACATACTTGAGAGCAGATATTACATATTATTTGTCATGGTTGTCTCCCTGAACAATATATTGTACAAAGGAAGTGCCAGTTAAAAATCGATTAAATAGATGTTGGTTGCCTACTGGCTTCTGTGTTGTTGCATACTAGCTTGTCCGCAGCCATTCTTTGGGGTTCCCTAAGACCTCTCAGGTGCTTGGCTGGTTGTCATAATTAACTCTGTGGTGGAGGTCCAGAGAGTAGTGAACAGAAGTGGAAACTGTGAGAGCTTTCTTGGTGATCATAGGTTGATTTGCATTCCTATTTCATATCTAAGCTACATGTTTGGAAAGTCCAAAGTGATTGGACTCTTTTCTGTGTGGAGCATGTCAAAGCTGTGCTTCAGTGATTCCAAGCCAACTTAAATTATTATTTTAAAAAAGGAAGAGGGCCCTCCCTGGTGGCACAGTGGTTTATAGCGCAGCACTGTGAAGTTTGCCGTAGCTGCTTCAGCACAAGTTTGATCCATGGTCAGGGAGGAGACCCCCATGGCGTGGCATAACTCTCCTGTCGTGCCCACTGCACCCCTCAGCAGTATACTTTGTCACTCTGCCAGTTCTGTTCCCTACTCTGCCTCTAGTGAATCTTCTCACCACCCCTGTACCTCTGGCTTGTACCCCAGTTCTGTATACATAAAAAATAAATCTAACTAGGGCCCTCCCTGGTGGCGCAGCGGGTTAAAGCACTGCACTAAGAAGCTTAAGCCACTTCCACATGAGCTTGATTCCCGCCTGCCCCAGAGGTGACCACATGGCGTGGCAGACCTTTCCTGACCCGCCCGCTGCTCCCCTCAGCAATGTACTTCGTGAATCTGCCTGTTCTGTTCCCCACTCTATTCCTTTGATGGCACTTATGTAGAGTTATCAACGTATCAAACAATGTTTGCTCCCAGTACTAGATTATAACATACTTGAGAGCAGATATTACATATTATTTGTCATGGTTGTCTCCCTGAACAATATATTGTACA